GAATCTTTGACATTTGACCCTTGACCCCCTGGTCTTTGACCTTTGACAACCCCCAATTCTTCATCAGCCATGACCTCAACACTCCTCTGACTTTTGACCCCTTGACTTTGACTGAAACCCCCTGAATCTTCTCTCTTTGACACCTGAATTCCTCTCTTCAAAGACCCCTGAACTCTCTTTATGACCCCTGAATCCTTTCCTTTGACCCCATCCTTCTCTCTTGACCCATCTTCTCTCTTTGAGAATCCTTTCTCTCTTTGAACCCTGACTGACCCCTTCTCTCTTTGACCCCTGAATCCTTCTCTCTTTTGACCCCTGAATCTGAATCTTCTCTCTTTGAGTCTTCTCTCTTTGACCCTGAATCCTTCTCTCTTTGCCGCCCTGAATCCTTCCTCTCTTTGACCCTGAATCCTTCTCTTTGACCCCTGAATCCTTCTCTCTTTGACCCCTGAATCCTTCTCTCTTGACCCTGAATCCTTCTCTCTTGACCCCTGAATCCTTCTCTTTGACCCCTGAAACCCTGAATCCTTCTCTCTTTGACCCCTGAACCTTCTCTCTTGACCTCAATCCTCTCTCTTTGACCCCTGAATGACCCTGAAATCCTTCTCTCTTTGACCCCTGAATGCTTCTCTCTTTTGACCCTGAATCCTTCTCTTCTTTTTCCTGATCCTTCTCTCTTGACCCTGAATCCTTCTCTCTTTGACCCCTGAATCCTTCTCTTGTCTTTGACCCTGAATCCTTCTCTCTTTGACCCCTGAATCTTCTTTGACCCCTGAATCCTTCTCCTCTTTGACCCCTGAATCTTCTCTCTTGACCCCTGAATCCTTCTCTCTTTGACCCCTGAATCCTTCTCTCTTTGACCCTGAATCTTCTCTCTTTGACCCTGAATCCTTCTCTCTTGACCCCTGAATCCTTCTCTCTTTGACCCCTGAATCCTTCTCTCTTGACCCCTGAATCCTTCTCTTTGACCCTGAATCCTTCTCTCTTTGACCCCTGAATCCTTCTCTCTTGACCCCTGAATCTTCTCTCTTTTGAATTTGCCCCTGATCCTCTCTTTGACCTATTGACCCTGAATCCTTCTCTCTTTTGACCTGAATTCCTCTCTTTGACCCCTGAATCCTTCTCTCTTTGACCCTGAATCCTTCTCTTGACCCCTGAACCCTGATCCTTTCTCTTTGACCCTGAATCCTTCTCTCTTTGACCCCTGAATCCTTCCTCTTTTGACCCCTGAATCCTTTCTCTCTTTGACCCCTGAATCCTGAATCTCTCTTTGACCCCTGGAATCCTTTCTCTTGACCCCTTGAATCTTCTCTCTTTGACCCTGAATATCTCCTCTCTTCCCCCTGAATCCTTCTCTCTTGACCCTGAATCCTTCTCTCTTTGACCCCTGAAATCCTCTTCTCCTCTGACCCCCCCTCTCCCTTGAACTCTCTTTGGAACCCCCTCCTTTGACCCCGAATCCTTCTCTCTGACCCCTGACCCTTGACCTCCCCTCAAACCGCACTCACTTGGCGAAGACGGCCCGATCTGAGCGCAGCATCTCCTTCGTGGTGAGGCCGTTGGTCCTGGGCATGGCTGACTTCCTGACCCTCTGCTTGCCCATCACGCTGATCACGAGGCTGCCCAGGTTTAGGTACTCCACCAGCTGTTGGGGTAGGGGGTAGGGGGTTAGAGTGGGGGTTGGGGTGTTAGTGGGTGGGGTGTAGGGAGGGGTGGTTTGTGGGCGTAGGTAAGTGGAAGAGGATAAGTATAAGTATACATATATATATATACTTCTCTCTACGCGAAATGGTAGGGGGGGGGGTTTGTGGGCGCAGATAAGGGAAGAGAATAATTATAATATCTATCTATCTATATCTATATCTATATATATATATATATATATATATATATATATATATATATATATATATATTATTATTCTCTCTCATGTGAAATATCTCGTATCATATTATAGTTACAGACGTGGAACTAATTTGACGAAAAAAAAAACTTTCGTTTGGGAGACAACCGTTCCGACATCTTCCACGAGTTCGAAAACGTGTTTCACTTTCTAACTCATTTTCGAAACTTGTCGCCTCAACCACGAAACTTCTAACATACCTACTACATTATTCCGTATCTCCCCTAACCATACCAATTCATTCTAGAACAATCGACCCAACGATCGATCAGATATACGACGATTAAAAAGACCCAAGTTACCTGTCTCGTGGCGGGTGTGAAGGAATAGAGCTTCGCGTGGTTGAAGTCGGGGTTGGATGTGTCCGAAATCTTCTTGGTTTTTGTCGGTTCCTCGTCCAGGTAAACGGCAGAGGTAGGTGCAGTAAACATCCTGGAGGTAAAGAGGAATAAAAAACAATAACAACAACAACCACCACCATTGGTGCAGTAACATCCTGTAGGTAACATCCTGGAGGTAAAAGGAAGGAGGTGTGTACGTATTTTATGTATGTATTGTGAAGTCATTCTGGGAAATAAGTTTTTTTTTCTGTGATTTCTGTCTGTCTCTCTGTCTCTTTCTCTTTCTCTCTCTCTCTCTCTCTCTCTCTCTCTCTCTCTTCTCTCTTCTCTCTCTCTCTCTCGCTCTCCCTCTCTCTCTCTCCTCTCCTCTCCTCTCCCTCTCCTCTCCCTCTCCCTCTCCCTCTCCTCTCCCTCTCCTCTCTCTCCCTCTCCCTCTCCTCTCCCTCTCCTCTCCTCTCCTCTCTCTCCGCTCTCCCTCTCCTCTCGCCTCTCGCCTCTCGCCTCTCCTCTATATACAATAAACAAAAAATAATAAGCAACTAAAAATAGAATAAGACACAACACTGATAATAGAACAATAACAAAAGGAAAACAACCACACCGGCCTCTTGGCCAGCTCACGGCGTAATCGCAAACTACACAAAAGACAACATTAACACAAAAATAAGCAAGAACAATACATAAATAAAGAAAACACGATAAACACAAAAAGAAAAGAAAAAAAAAAAAAAAGGACCTAATATAAGAACTCATGACGTATACCAAACTACAGCAAAAACAACACTTAACAACAGAAAATAATAACGAGAAGACAACCACCACAACCAATGCGACCCCTGGGCACTCTTGGCCTCTTAGGAACCCTACCCTCCCCCTGGCAGCTCCTTGGCACTCCTTAGCACTCCATGACCCTCTTTAGCACTCCTTGGCCCTCTTTAGCCCTCCTTGCCCTCCTGTTGCCCTCCTTAAGCCACTCAGGCCTCATTAGACTCCTATAGGCTCCATGACCTCTTTAGCACTCCTTGCCAATATATAGAATAGATATATAGACTCATGCTTCCTTGACCTTAGAACTTGCCATAGCCTCCCTGCACCTCCTTGCCCTCTTAGCATTACTCCTTGACCCTCTTTAGCACCCTTAGCTCCTCTCATGACCCTCTTGCCCTCCCTGGCATCCTCCCGCCTCTTAGCACTCCTTAGCTCCCTCACTCTGGCACACTCCCTGGCACTGCGTCATTCGTTTGGCACTCACGGCGTATCGGTTGGGCAGGCCGCGGCAGTTGAGGATCCTGAGGTTGAAGTAGACGTTGGTGCCAACGAGGTCTTCGGCGGTGTCCACGAACTTGTCGTCTTCTTCGACGTAATCTTTGCCGTTGGCGTCGCAGGGCACCGATCTCGACCTGGGGGGGGAGAGAAAGTTTTTTTTTTTATTATTATTATTATTTTTTATTGTTATATTATATATATATAGTTTATTAATATAATATATATTATATACTTTTTTTTTTTTTTCTTTTATTTTTGTTTTTTTTATTTTATTTTTATCTTTTTTTTTTTTTTTTTTTGTTTTGTTTTTATTTTATTCTTGTTATTTTATTTATTTATTTATTTATTCATTTATTTAGGTGGGGCGGGGTGGGAGATTAGTTTTTTTTGTTTGTTTGTTTGCTTTTTGTTATTTGTTTTATTTTGTTTTTATTATTTTATTTATCTATTTATTATTTATTTAGGTGCGGTGGAGAAATGTTTTTTTTGGGGGGTATTCTTTTTAGGGGGGGGATGTGGGTGTAGGTGTAAGGTGTGGTGTGTGTGTGTGTGTGTGTGTGTGTGTGTGTGTGTGTGTTGTGTGTGTGTGTGTGTGTGTGTGTGTGTGTGTGTTGTGTGTGTGTGTGTGTGTGTGTGCTGTGTGCGTGTGTGCGTGTGTGCGTGTGGGTGTGCGTGTGCGTGTGCGTGTGCGTGTGTGTCGCGTGTGTGCGTGTGTGCGTGTGTGTCGTGTGTGTGCGTGTGCGTGCGTGCGTGTGTGTGTGTCGAGTGACTGAATGTGCTTGTTTTCATGAATAAGGATACTCAAAATCACCAAATCCTATTTATAATATCAAAATCACAAAAAACGACCCCCACAAAATCAAGGAAATCCACTTAGAAGAACATAATTCAACAAACAACAAAAAAAACAACACAAAAACTCAATTCATAATTCCGTATTTCAGACTCCCTTGTAATTCGTGATCTCAAGTCCATCACAACAACAAAACAACATCAACAACAAAAACAAACTCACATTCATAATTCCGATTTCAGATCCCTTGTAATTCGTGATCTCGAGCTGTTCACTGAGCTCAATGTTGTGGGCGAGAGGCTGGAGGATCACTTGGGCAGTTCCTATGCGAATCTCCGTGTCCAAAGATTCCTGGAAGGGGTCCTCCTCCTGTGGGGAAACGGGGGGGGGGGGGGGGGGGGGGGGGGTTTAGAGGAGTTTTTTTTTAAGGTGTTTTTTTCTGTTTTTTTCTGTCGCTGGTTCTGTTTTCTTGCGGTCTCGGTTCTGCTCCGTGTCTGTTTCTCTTTCTTTTCTTTCTTTCTTTCTTTTTTTCTCTGGAAGACTCTTTTTTCTTTCTTTTTTCTTTCTTTTCTCTCTTCTCTCTCTCTCTTCTCTATGTGTCTCTGTCTGTCTGGTCTCTTCTCTCTTTCTTTTCTCCTCTCTGTATCGTTATCTATCTATCGTGTCTGTCTTCTGTCTATGTCTTGTTCTCTGTCTCAGTGTCTGTCTGTCTGTCTCTGTCTCTGTTCTGTCTCTGTCTCTGTCTCTGTCTGCTGTCTCTGTTGCTGTCTTCTGTCTCTGTCTCTGTCTCTGTTCTGTCTCTCTTCTCTCTCTCTCTCTTTTTCTCTCTCTCTCTCTCTATTCTCTCTCTCTCTCTCTCTCTTCCTCTCTCTCTCTCTTCTCTCTCTCTCTCTCTCTCTTTAAATAATTATTATATATAATTATATATATATATTAATTATATATATATAATACTCTCCATAATTATTTTTTTTTATATATATTATATATTATTATACCACCACACAACACAATATATATATATATATAATATATAATATATATATATATCTATATATTCTATTATATATACACATCATATAAAATTATAATCAATATCCTATCTACGAACCCAATCAACTCACTATCCCCCTATAACAAATATGTTCTATAGGTCTGTTTCTTCTCTATCTATGTGCCTATGTGTCTGTTCTATCTCTGTCTCTGTCGTGCTTGTCTCTCTCTCTCTACACACACACACAACCACCAACCAAAGACAATCATCATCAAATCACCAAACCACAAAAACAAAAAACCTGCTCTCACAAACATACAAAAAACAAACATACACAGGGCTCATAAACACAAAACACAATAAACTCAACATAAATACTTACCTCTAAAAAAACCTAAAAAAAAAAACTATATCAAAACCAAATAGAATACAACAAAAACATACAAAACCCTACTACAAGAATCACACTACAATAAAAAAACAACGATAGAATACAAACCCCTAAAATAACACATAAATACAAAAATAACCAAGACAATAACGAATCAAAAATCAACACAACCAAAAAAACCCCCTACGCACACTACCCGCCACGCAGCATTGCTACCTAACAGAAAGAATAACAACTAAAAAACAAACAACAATCACGCTCCGGTTTTCCAATTCGTCGCTCATCTTCGTATTGGTGTACATCGCCTTCTCAAGCTAGAGTCGGTTCAAGAACTTCTCTTTGGGCCACACGAATTCCGTCCCGTTCTGCAGGTTCCTCATTTTCACTTGAATCTGGTGGAAGGAAGGAGGAGGAAGGAGGAAGAGGAGGAGGAAGAGGAGGAGGAAAGAGGAGGAGGAGGAGGAGGAGGAGGAGGAGGAGGAGGAGGAGGAGGAGGAGGGGAAGAGGGAGGAGAAATTTTTTGTTAGATTTTTTTTTTTTTTTTTTTTTTTTTTTTTGAGGGGGGGTTGTTTTTTTGTTGTTGAATGGATGATTGTGTTTTTTGTAGTTGTTGTTTTCTTGTAAGAATAAATTCTAATTAGATTATTTTTTCTTTCTTTTTTTGAGGGGTTGGTTTTTTTTTTTGGAGGGTTGAATGGTTGTTTTTGTTGTTGAGGGGCTGTTGTTGCTTTCGTTTTTGCTGTTGTTTTCTTGTAGTTATATTTTCATTTGTTTTTCTTGGTAAAGATTATTTTTTTGCTGTAATTTAATGTAATTTTTTCTGTCATTATTGATTATTTAAATTTTACGTCCATATGTGGTATTATTACTGTATTGACTTTTTTTCTTTTTTTCTTTTTCTTTTTTTTGCTAAAGGTTTTACCATTTCCTCTAGAGATGCTCTAATAATTTAATCATTTTCATTCTCATTATCTTTATCCTATTATCTTTTTCATCATTATTGTCACTATTCTAACAGAGCTGACAATGAGAGACACTTTTCCAGCTCTATTTTTAAAATCAATTTTAGTAAATTATCCTTAAAGAATTTCAATGCATGCAGGTTGATGTGCATTATATAAAAGTACAGAAACAAAATAAAATATTAAATACTGATCATTTAATACTAATCGCAGAAAATGAAATTAAAATAATAATAACAAAGAAATGTGTCTATAAATGATTTTTTTTAAGCTATATCTAAAGAGAAAAAAAATATTAAAAAATATATAATCACTCTTAAATATATAATCACTCTAAAGAGTGCATGCAAGCAAAATAATAATAACAACAATAACAAAATGAAAATAAAACAAAATAAACGTGATTCTGAAGAAGTTAGCCGTAACTCACGAGATAAACAGACAGTCAGAAAAATATCAAATTTACGCGAAAATGAATATATATTTCTGAATAAATCTGGTTCTAAATTAATTGCACATGCATTAATCTGACATCTGTGTTTATTCGCAGCCTCAGGTTACATCCAACTCAGAAAAAAGCAAGTATGGGAAAGTATCTGCATCGATTCGTGTGATTCCGAGATAAAATGGCGACCGTCTTTTGTTTTCGAAAAAAAACCGTTAGCGTTTCCGATCCACTTTCCCGCGTTTTTTTGAAATCCCATTCTATGCGTTGATTGGCTAATATCCTCTTCCTCCCCGTCTCCTCCCTTCCCCTGTCGTTTTTCTTCTTTCTCTCTTTCTCCTTCTTTTTTTATCATCCCACATCTACATCTTCTTCTGTCCACTTTGTAAAATACTTATCTCATCATCTAGCCACATTTAAAAAAAATCCTCGAACAACGCAGTCCTTTTTATTTATCAATTTATTCTTATTTCAATTTTTTTTTTTTTTTTTTTTTTTTTTTTTTTTTTTTTTTTTTTTTTTTTTTTTTTTTTTACTTAGACGTCTATCGATCGATACATCCGCTTCCACATACACGAACCCTTGCTAACTCTTCCCCAAACTCGACTTCTCACTCACCTTCGGCTGCCCCAACCCACCACTCCCCTGTAATGGAGACACGAGTGTTAAAAGAAGAGAAATTAATCTCCCAGCATTCGTGAGGTTCGGTGATAATGGGGATAAAAGAGAAATGGGTGGGAATGGAATGATTGGGGGAGTTAGGAGAGAGAGAGAGAGAGAGAGAGGAGTGTGGGATAGACAGGGAGAGAGAGAGGGAGGGAAGAAAAGTGAGAGGAAGAAAGGGAGAGAGATGGAGGGAAGAGAAGTGAGAGAGAGAGAAGAGAGAGAGAGAGAGAGAGAGAGAGAGAAAGGGGGGGAGGGAGAGGGAGAGAAGGGGAGAGAGAGGGGAGAGAAAGGAGAGAGAGACGGAGAGAGAGAGAGAGAGAGAGAGAGAGAGAGAGAGAGAGAGAGAGAAGAGAGAGAGAGAGAGAGAGAGAGAGAGAGAGAGAGAGAGAGAGAGAGAGAGAGAGAGACAAAAGAGAAGAGACTGACAGACAGAGAGACAAAGACAGACAGACAGAAAGCAGACAGAGACAGAGTGACACACAGCAGACAGACAGACAGAAAGCAAGAGAAAGAGAGAGAGACAGAGGGTTTAGAGAAACAGGGACAGAAACGGAGAGAAGGAAAGCGAGAAAGACAGAGACAGACAGACAGACATACAGACTATTCAAATGAAGAGCCGATCGATTGATTAAGGTCGAGAATTCTTCATCTCGTTCTTGCTCTGGAAATAAAAGTCTATTAATACTTTAAGTTTTAAAGCGTAACAGAACAAGAGCATTTCCTATTCCCGTTTTCATTCAATTCTATAGTTATCTAATCCTCTTCGTGTCCTCCCTTCTATCTTTTATCTATTTATTTATTTATTTTTTACTTCCCTTTTATCCACAGTTGTCTTTCCCTTCTTCCCTTTAAATCCATAGGATATTAACCTACCCACAAAAAGAGAGAAAGGAAGAAAAAAAAAAAAAAAAGTTTCCTACAGCTCGTGATCCAATAAACAGAAAAAAACAAAAACAAAAAGAAAACTTAGACTTAAAATCCATAAAACTACTTTAAAAAAAATAAAGGTTTAAACACGAAAACAAAACAAAAAAGCTCTACGAAAATAAACAAATGAATACACAGATAAATAGATAGATAAATAAACAGACAAGTAGATAGATAAATAAACAGATACATAGATAGATAAATAAACAGATAAAGAGATAGATAAATAAATACATAAATAAATGGATAAATAAACACGAATTCCTACCTCGGTCTTGCCTCCCTGCTGGCCGAGGACCTGAGGGGATACGAGCATAATCTCAAACTTGACCATCCTGTCCAACTCTTCCGAGATGGAATTGGCTTCTTCCACTGCCAGCATCACTTCCATGAGGTCCTGTTGCACCTTCGACATGTCTGCAACGTTGCAAGGGAGAGTCATGAGTCGTAGAATAGCCATAAAGCGTAAAGGTGTTAGGTCGATGTTGGTGAAGAAGGAAAAAAAATGTAGGTCGTTGTCCCTCCAACGCGTGGCTTATGGGGATTATAAAAAGGAGTTTTTTTGTGTAGGTAATAATCAGGTTATGAGACTAACTGTGAGAGTCAGGTTATTAAAATAATCCTCACCGTTTATATACTTGACTTTTATATATTACGTGTCTGGAGGAAAGGTTAGGTAAAATCATCACCATGATTTTTTTTTTATATCATTTCGTATAGGCTGTGAGGTTGGTGTTTCTCTCTGCTTTATCGTTCCTTTTCTTCTCCTTTTTCGTAATGTATATATCTTAATAACGTGTTATGACAAAAGCCAGAACGATGGGAACTTACTAAATTAAAAAAAATCATAGAAAACCCCGATATGATCATAGCAAATAACTTAATCTCTCACCCAAACAGAGAGAGGAGAGAGAGAGAGAGAGAGAGAGAGAGAGAGAGAGAGAGAGAGAGAGGGAGAGAGAAGAGAGAGAAGAGAGAGAGAGAAGAGAGAGAGAGAGAGAGAGAGAGAGAGAGAGAGAGAGAGAGGAGAGAGAGAGAGAGAGAGAGAGAGAGAGAGAGAGAGAGGAGACAGAGAGACAGACAGAGAGAGACAGACAGACAGACAGGACAGACAGACAGACAGACAGACAGACAGACAGAGAGAAAAGAGAAAGAGAAAGAGAAAAATACATCTACATACATATACATACACACAAATATACATCTTCCTTAACAATCAACACAAAACACAACCTCAAGAACAAACCCCCCCCCCCCCTTTCCTAAAAACACGATGACCACTCACCGGCATTGCTACTGGCCATATCAATGCCACTCTTGGACGCAATCTCCTCTTGGGCATATTCGAAGGTTATCTCAGGGTAGTTCTTCTTGTTCTTGTCTCGGTCGACGGGGTTCTGGAACAGCCAGAACTGGGTGCCTCCAAAGACTAGTCTGTGGTGGAGGAAAGGAAGGAAATATTAGATCCCTGGGTTGTGGACCTGTGTGCCTCCAAAGACTAGTCTGTGGTGGAGGAAAGGAAGAAATATTAGGTCCCTGGGTTGTGGGACAGCCATGACTGTGTGCCTCCAAAGACTAGTCTGTGGTGGAGGAAAGGAAGAAAATATTAGGTCCCTAGGTTGTGGGACAGCCATGACTGTGTGCCTGCTATGACTAGTCTGTTGTGGGGAAAAGGAAGGAAATATTAGGTCCCTAGGTTGTGGGACAGCCATGACTGTGTGCCTGCTATGACTAGTCTGTTGTGGGGAAAAGGAAGGAAATATTAGGTCCCTAGGTTGTGGACAGCCATGACTGTGTGCCTGCCTATGACTAGTCTGTGGTGGGAAAGGAAGAAATATTAGTCCCTAGGTTGTGGGACAGCCATGACTGTGTGCCTGCTATGACTAGTCTGTGGTGGGGAAAGGAAAATATTAGGTCCCTGGGTTGTGGGACAGCCATGACTGTGTGCCTGGACTAGTCTGTGGTGGGGAAAGGAAAATATTAGGTCCCTGGGTTGTGGGAGCCTGTGTGCCTAGACTAGTCTGTGGTGGAGGAAAGGAAGAAAATGTTAGATCCCTGGGTTGTGGGACAGGTAGAACTGAGTGCCTCTTAAGACCAGTCTGTGGTGGGGAAAGAAAGAAATGGGACAGGATTCTCTAACTCACGATGGTAAAATCACTGGTAACTATTACTGCCATGGTAAACAGACAGGGGTGGTATTCACTAATACCTTGCCTTCAGAGTTACCATTTTACCAGTGGCCGGGGCTCCGGTAACTTCTATGAAAATGATGTCACGTGAATATCTCGTCCAGAAATCAATATTAAAGCAAAGTTTTTGGTTTACTTTTTATGCCTGATATAACTAGAATGATGGCAAACAGATGTCACAATATGGACATGGCGAAGAAAAGCAAATTAAACATGAAACTAGCAAGAATAAAATCCACTCAAATTCTCGTCAAATTATAGGTAGACATAGGCCTACATTATACATTAGTACAGTGTATGTAATGGATATTTAAGTGAACTTCTAAAGAATCAATCTTCTCTAACATAATTTTACAAATTCTATAGAAAAAAAAACTACCTTGCTGATGCATAAACAAGCAATACCAACGTTAAACGCGTATAACAACTATGTCTGTCGGCACTTTGGCAAAGGACAACGAACTCCGAACGCGCTTGGCCAAGAATGAGCTTGAAATATGGAGTATTTCCTTTATTTGACGATAGATGGCGATGAATATATATTGTTTTTGTATCGGTTCTTTGTTTAACAATGATGAAGAATAAACGTATAATAAAGTAATGTAGAATAATGAATAAGAGCGGTTTGGACTGTTTCTTTGGTTCGCGGTAAACAATGATATATTGATATTAAAGTGTTTTTAGTGATTCTTATTTGTACGATAAATAGCCCCAGGGAAGTCTGTTAACATGCCACATGATGGATACAAGTAAATAAATCTTTATATTTTCTACATATGGTATTTTAGTTGTGACGATGATTTTTAAGATCTTGCTGTCTAGTTCAGTTGAAATGTTACGTGACTGGTCGAAGGAACCTAAATGATTATGTAAGGCGCTCGCTGATTGGTGAAATTGTTTTACTAGAGCCCTCTGTCGGCTACCATTTCCTGTGATGGGCTTTCCCCTCCCCATTCTCTCTCTCACTTCCCTCCTCCCCTCTTTTCCCATTCCCATTCCCCATTCCCTCTCTCCCTCCCTACTACCCACCCCTCCTTCCCATCCCTTCCTGTTCCCCATTTCCCATTCTCTCTCTCTCCCCTACTCCCCACCCCTCCTTCCCATCCCTTCCTATTCCCCATTTCCCATTCCCTCTCTCCCTCCCCTCCTCCCCACTCCTCCCTCCCCATTCCCCAATCTCTCTCCCTCCCCTCCCCTCCCCTCCCTCCCCTCCCTCCCCTCCCCTGCCCTCCCCTCTCCCCTCCTCCCTTCCTCCCCCTCCCTCCAACTCCTCCCTCCCCTCCCCTCCCATCCCATCCCATCCCATCCCTCCCAATTCCCCTCTCCCCTCCTCCCTTCCTCCCCTCCTCCCTTCTCTCCCCCTCAACTCCCTCCCCATTCCCCGTAGGCACTCCAACTGACCTGTCGTTGTGGCACAGTGTCGTCTCGCCTTGGATGGGGGAGCCATTGACCACAACTCGGCACTCTGTGTTGTGGGGTTTGATGCTCACTTTCCCTTCCTTGTTGACCGTCATGACTGCGTGCTGTTCCTGGATGCTGTGGGAGAGGGGTCACGGGGTCAATTATTGGCTTCTTGAGGGTTATTTGGGTTTCGGTTTTTGGTTTCTTGGGGTCACGGGGTCAATTATTGGTTTCTTGGGGTCACGGGGTCACTTTTTGGTTTCTTGGGGTAACTTGGGGTCACTTATTGGTTTCTTGGGGTCACGGGGTCACTTATTGGTTTCTTGGGGGTTATTTGGGGTCAAGTATGGTTAGTTTTAGTACTACTATTAATACAACTAATGATGATAATGATAATAATAATGATGGTAATATAATAATGATAAATGATAATTATAATGATGATGAGGGTGATGATAGTGATAAAATAATGATAATAACAATAATTGTAGTAATAATAGTAATGATAATAAAAGTAACATTAATAACAATAACATCATCACTACTACTAATGATAATAATACTGCTAATGCCAATATTACTACTAATACCAATAAAGACAACGATAACAACAACAACAACAATCCCTCGACACACACAAAACGGAGACAAGGCCCCCCGCCCCCCCCCCCCCCACCTTGGTCCAATAATGGTGATGTTGGATTCTTCTCCCTTCCTGTTGCCAACGGTGTTCCCTCCCGGCCTCAGGATGTGCACCACGCGGCCAGTGAGCAGTGGGTCGACGTTGAGGTTGTAGATGTGGGGTTTCTTCTGCTTTTCTTCCTCCTTCTTGGCGATGGATGGGTCCTGGGGATGAGGGAGAGGGGGTTGAGGGTGAGGGGGTGAGGGTGAAGGAGGGGATGGGGTGGGAGGTGGTTGGGGGAATGTGAGGGAAGGGTGGGTTTTTTTTTTAAACCGTTAACGGCTGGGAGGGATTTGAAATTCGGATTTTTGTGTGTGTTAGATTTTTTGGATTTGAGGGAATGCGGAGGAAAGGCGTGGTTTCTAAAACCGTTAACGGCTGGGAGGGATTTGAAATTCGGTTTTTGTGTGTTTAGATTGTTTGGATTTGAGGGAATGCGGAGGAAAGGGCGTGGTTTCTAAAACCGTTAACGGCTGGGAGGGATTTGAAATTCGGATTTTTGTGTGTGTTAGATTGTTTGGATTTGAGGGAATGCGGAGGGAAGGCGTGGTTTCTAAAACCGTTAACGGCTGGGAGGGATTTGAAATTCGGAATTTTGTGTGTGTTAGATTGTTTGGATTTGAGGGAATGCGGAGGAAAGGGCGTGGTTTCTAAAACCGTTAACGGCTGGGAGGGATTTGAAATTCGGATTTTGTGTGTGTTAGATTGTTAGGAGTTGAGGGAATGCGGAGGAAAGGGCGTGGTTTCTAAAACCGTTAACGGCTGGGAGGGATTTGAAATTCGAATTTTGTTTGTGTTAGATTGGGTGTTTTTTCTTTCTTTCTTTCTTTGTTTTTGCGACGTAAAATAATAATGGTTTTGTTTTGCGTGTGTTTGTAGTTATCTATATCTGTGTGTGCATCTATATATGTATATTTGTGTATATATGCTTGGTATATCTCTCAGTATCCGTGCATGTGTGTTTATATGTACCTATGTGTGTATACATGATATACCTATCTTTATTCACGAGCTAATCAGCCAGTTTGTTAAAATTGTGCCAGGCCCGACCCAATTAATTTTCATAAAAATACATTTGCTGAAATAAAAGCACGTTTGTCTATATATCTGATAGATATTGCATTCAACCATCTATTTGCCCGGTTGATATGCATGTCTAGACTGATGAATATGCATTTATTTCTTTATTTATGCATGTCAAGTATACGACTATTCTTTGGGTCGGGCCCTCGCACAATTCAAACGAACCGACCGAATGTGTCTACAAGTATACCCGTGTCCCATACACCCCTGTATCTATCTACACCCTAGTTTTATGCAACTGTGTCTTTCCATTCTCGTGTATTCCCACGTGGTCTGACGCCCCCCCCCTTACCACGTGTTCCATCTTGGACTGTTTGAGTTTCTCTTCATATGTCTTCTTCATCTCCATCATCTCCTTCTCGTTCTCCAGCATCCTCGCCTTCATCTCCTCCTCCCACTGCTTCTTCAGCTTCTCGGCATCTGGGGGAAGAACAGAAAAGGTAAAGAAAATGTGAAATAAAGAAGGAAAACAATGGAAGAAGAAAATATGAAGCGAAGAACAAGAAAGAAAAGTGAGGATTACATTATTTCAGTTTATTTCATTTTTCAAAAAAATAAACACAAGGCAAAAAGGAAGAAAATTATGATCACCATAACCATACAGACCATAAATCCCTCAACCATGAATTACCATAATTTCCATAAATACCATAAAATTTCCATAAAAATCCATAAATCACTTTACAGTAAATTTCACATCACACCCAACCCCCACCCATTACCCCATCAACCCCATCACCCCCACCCAACCCCCAACCCCATCCCACCCCAACCCATCCCAACCCCCAACCCCCCCCAACACCCCAACCCCCAACCCCCAACCCCCCACCCCCAACCCATCCCGAACCCCAACCCCCCCAAACCCCATCCAACCCCCACCCCCATCCCCACCCCAACCCCAACCCCCAACCCCATCCCGACCCCATCACCCCCAACCCCAACCCCCAACCCATCACCCCCACCCCAACCCCATCACCCCCACCCCCAACCCCATCACCCCACCCCCACCCCCAACCCCACCCCCACCCCCAACCCCCCAACACCCCCAACACCCCACCACCACCCCCATCCCCCCCCACCCCCACACCCCCACCCCCAACCCCCACACCCCCAACCCCCACCCCCATCACCCCTCCCCCATCGCCCCCCACCCCACCACCACCCACCACCACTCACCTCGATCATCAACCCCGTCGCCGTCCTGATCAATCATATTCATATCAATCTTCCCTCCCGACATCATCTTCTTCAACTTGTCATTTTCCTCCTTCAGCTCCCTCAGTAACTTCTCCGTCGGGTCTTCGTTCACTGTGGCCTTCGTCTTGATCTGCTTGGCTCGGTCGGCTGCCGGAGGAAGGTGTGGTGAGGTTGTGGGGAAAGGGGAAGGTGTGGTGAGGTTGTGGGGAGGGAGGTTGTGGTGGAGTTGGGGAGGGTTGGAGGGAGGTTGTGGGAAAGGAGGTTGTGTTGTTGTGGGGAGGGGAGGTTGTGGTGGGAGGTGTGGGGAAGGAAGTTGTGTGAGGTTGTGGGAAGGGAAGTTGTGAGGAGGTGAGGGTGTGGTGAATTTGTGGGAAATAAAGTTGCGAAGTTGATGTGGAGAGGTTAGTGTGTGGTGAGGTTGTGGGGAAAGGAAGTTGTAGAGAGGTTAGTGTGTGGTGAGGTTGTAGGGAAAAGAAGTTCTGGTGAGGTTGTTGTAGAGAAGTTGTGGGGAAAGGAAGTTGTGATGAGGTTGGCGTGGGGGTTGTTTGGATTTCACGAAAAAGGTGTGAAATTATACAAAGCTTAGAAGATGAGGAATGAGGTTGTAAGGAAGGGTTAGAAGTTGAGGGTTGTTGTAAAGAAGAGTTGTGAGGGGAGGTATGCGGTTGTGAGGAAGGTTAGAAGATGAGGTTGTTGTAGGGTGAGTCTACGGTTGTGAGATTTCGTGCAGTGCAAGGGAAGTTGAATGATGAGGTTGTAATAAGATAAATATGATACTGCAGCAAGTTGTGGGACAAGAGAGGTTGTAATAATGAGGTTGGTGACGTAGTTGTGAGGTTTGTGAAGTATAGTATTCCTAAGGTAAGTTTATTAAGATCTGATGACCAGTATAATGTATATTTAATAAATTCAATTAATCCATTGTAATCATTGTTCTTGTTATCTTTTAAGACAAAAATATAAAGTAAAAAAGATACTGTAATCCATTTTAAAATTAGTTTTATATCTATACAACAGATACTTAATGTTGTAGATATTGACATTTTTGTTATAATTTTTCGCTAGTTTTGTTATGCATTTAATTTTTTGCATATGTGTTATGCTGCCATTGCTATTGCTCACTTATATATAAGTATTCTACCAATGCTCTTAGGCCTTAAAGATTTTATATACAAGTATCTTACTATTATCAATATCATTTTATCCTTATCACAGCATGTTTTTTTTAACCATCGTTGCCGTACGCATTCCTCCTACTCAATATCATTTATCTTTATTTTTTTAAATCATCGTTGCCGTACGCATTCCTCCTACTCTCAATATCATTTATCTTCATCACAGCATTTTTTAAATCATCGTTGCCGTACGCATTCCTCCTACTCAATATATCTTTATCACAGCATGTTTTTAATCATCGTTGTCGTACGCATTCCTCCTACTCTCAATATCATTTATCTTTATCACATTTTTTTAAATCATCGTTACGCATTCCACCTACTCTCAATATCATTTATATCACGGCATTTTTTTAATCATGTTGCCGTACGCATTCTCCTACTCTCAATATCATTATATCTTCATCACAGCAATTTTTTAAATCATCGTTGCCGTACGCATTCCTCCTACTCTCAATATCATTATATCTTATCACAGCATTTTTTTTACCATCGTTGCGTACGCATTCCTCCTACTCAATATCATTATATCACAGCATTTTTTTAATCATCGTTGCCGTACGCATTCCTCCTACTCTCAATATCATTTATATCACGGCATTTTTTTAATCATCGTTGCCGTACGCATTCCTCCTACTCTCATATCATTTATCTTCATCACAGCATTTTTTAAATCATCGTTGCCGTACGCATTCCTCCTACTCTCAATATCATTTATATCATCACAGCATTTTTAACCATCGTTGCCGTACGCATTCCTCCTACTCTCAATATCATTTATCTCTATCACAGCATTTTTTTAATCATCGTTGCCGTACGCATTCCTCGTACTCAATATCATTTATATTTTTTAATCATCGTTGCCGTACGCATTCCTCCTACTCAATATCATTTATATCACATGTTTTTAACCATCGTTGCCGTACGCATTCCACCCCAACTCACCGTATCTGAGGGTCGACAGCGTCTCCTCATAATTGATATCAGCTGGAGAGATAGCGGCTATCATGATCGTTTTGCTGTTGCCTCCAAGAGCGTTCATCAGCAGCTTCGTCAGCTTGGAGTCTCGGAAGGGAACGCGAGCCTGTAATAAAAGTTGTGGACGGTTGTTATTGTTGTTGTTGTTGTTAGTGTTGAGATTCGTATATTTGTTGGTTTGTTTGTTGTATCGGGGTTGAGTGAGCCTGTAATAAAAGATGTGGATGGTTGTTATTGTTGTTGTGTTGTGTGTTGAGATTCGTATATTGTTTGTTTGTTTGTTGTATCGGGGTTGAGTGAGCCTGTAATAAAAGATGTGGATGGTTATTGTTGTTGTTGTTGTTAGTGTTGAGATTCGTATATTGTTGGTTTGTTTGTTGTATCGGGGTTGAGTGAATTTGCATGTGGGGTTCTATGGTGTGGAATTTAGATTTTTTTTTCTCCCTTTCTCTCTATCTATCTCTATCTCTCTCTCTATCGATGTCTCTCTCTCTCTCTCTCTCTCTCTCTCTCTCTCTCTCTCTCTCTCTCCTCTCTCTCTCTCTCTCTCCTCTCTCTCTCTCTCTCTCTCTCTCTCTCTCTCTCTCTCTCTCTCTCTTTTTTGACGGGGTGATTGAATGACATGGAATAGAATTTAGATTATGACGTAGAAACGAGAATAATCTCCCACGTTTATCATACAAAAATGGAATAATAATCAGCTCCTTTTTTTTAGATAATATGGATTTTAAACTCACCTGTGTGTATTGTAAGACAGAACATTAATATTGTTGTATATTGCTTAACGAAGGAATTTAATCCAGTTTTATACCTAATAAACCGAAGTTTTTTAATCAACTATTTACTACAGGAAAGTAGATAAACAATATGCTTATGTACAGTATTACAAGGAGATAAAATCATAATCTTTGTACCAATTGGATATAATATTCTAATGCCATTGTGTCTAGGAAAGTGGTAAGAAAAAGCAGTTTGTACTAAAGACAAAAAAAAAGTTAACATGTGAATGAAATGGAATTATAATCTGTCTATTAAAGGAGAGACATTTATTATAATCCAACTAATATAATAGAGGATGAAATTAAAACCTGGCCCTGTTATAGCTTTTGAAATTAAGAGCTAATATGCTCATAGTATAAGTAGAGTGATTTCTTTCATAGCAAATTGCACTTTCAAATGAATCATTATTTTTTATCATTTTCTTTCTTTTTTTCTCCCTATTTGCCCTATTATTTTTCCTTTCTTCTTTCTCTATAGTTCCTTTCTTTATTTTTTTTCTTTCTTTTCGTTCGCTCTATTTTTTTTCTCTATCTTTTTCTTTCTTTTTTCTATATATTTTCCCTTCTTTGTCTTTTTTCCCTGTATTTTCCCTTCTTTATCTTTTTCTTTCTTTCCCCATTTTCGCTTTTTTATCTGTTTTCTTGCCTTTCATTTATTTTTTTTTCCCAATTCCTTTTTTTTTCTCTATTTTCCTTCTTTATCTCTCACTCCCCCTCCCTCTTCTCTCTCTCTCTCTCTCCTTCTCTCTCTCTCCCCTCCCTCTCCCTCTCCCTCCTTTCTCCCTCTCCCCTCCCTTTCTCCCTTCTCCCTCTCCCTCCCTTCTCTCCCCTCTCCCTCCCTCTCTCCCTCCTCCCTCTCCCTCTCCCCTCCTCCTCTTCACCGGTTTTCCAGACGCATTTTCTGCCAGAGCATGGATGCAGTTTCCCAAACATGTTAGAGACAAGTTGATACCAGCTCCTTCTTTCAGTCTCTCTCCCGTGGCTCCGGTGCTCTCCACGCGCTCGCTGAAAGGAAAGAGAAAGGGAAATTTATAGAAATAAAGAGATATGAGAGAGAGAGAGAGAGAGAAGAGAAAGGAGGAAGGTTTATAGATTTCGTAAGTGTGTTTGGGAGTGTGAGTGGGCAGTTTATTGGTTCAGGGATGAAGTCTGTGTATATATATCTATTGATTTATATGTCTGTATGTATGTATTTGTGTCTGTCTGTCTGTCTGTTTACCTATCCTTTCTCTTCTTTACGTATTTACTGTATCTATATATACCTGAATCTGTCCATTTGTTTGTCTATCTATTGTCTGTTTCTATGTCTGCTAACCTGTTAGTTATATTACTGCATGTCTAAATTTTTATCTTTATTTCTGTATTTGTATATTTCTGTATTTTCCATCAATCTATCTGTCTGTTTCATTCTCTGTGTTCACTGTCTGTCCCATCTATCTACCCAACACCTAACATTTTATCCAATAGACTTTCTTTTCATCAATCAATATATCTATCTATCTGTCTCATTCTCTCCCCATCTCTCCATTTCTCCATCTCTCCATCTATCAATCTATCAAGCTCTCATCTATCTCAGCATCTCATCATCTCTCTCTCCATTTATCAACCTATCAATCTATCCATCTCCCTATCTCTCCATCTCTCAATCTATCAACCTTTCTATCTGTCTCTCAATCTCACCATTAATTTCTCTCTCTCTCCATCTCTCACCTTTAATGTCTCGATCACCATCTATCTCTCTCTCTCGCCATCTATCTATCTCACTTTCTATGTTCCTATCACCATCTATCTCTCCATCTATCTCACAATCTCTCTCGCCTTCAATCTTCCTATCACCATCTATCTCTCCATCTCTCTCGCTATCTATCTCACCTTCTATCTTCCTATCACCATCCTATCTCTATCTATCTCTCCATCTATCTCACAATGTCTCTCACCTTCCGGCCAGATCGACGAGGTTCACCACCGCCTTCTTGGCTGTCTCTTGTCCGGCCTCGTTCTTGAATTTCTGAGTGAATTCGATGCCGACGATGGTGTGAGCCCGAGAGGAGGTGGCGTTCATGTTGGTGGAGGCTATGGTGCGGTTGACAGTGCCTTCGTTCATCTTCTGTTCAATCTCTTGGTAGTTGGACACCATCGCCATCTTCAGGCCCTCGGCTGGGTGGTGGGGGGTGGGGGAGAGGGACGAGAGGAGGGAAGATGAGGTGGGTTGAGGTGGGTTGAAGATATAGATTATCTGAATTCCGTGATACTTTAAGGTCTGTGCCAGAGTGGAGGTTTAAAGATAATAGATAGTTTCTAAAATGGTTATGTTATTTTTTGGTTTTCTTTTCCTCACTTTACCTCCTTTTCCCTTCATTTCCTTTCCATTTTCATTCTCATCCATCTACTTCTTTCCCAATTTACCCACATCCTATCATCCACTCACTTCCTTCCTTCCATCCTTATTCTTAACCTTTCCCTTCCCTGCACTTTTCACATCCACACACCTCCCTCCCATTAAAGAACCCCTTCAAAAACCCCTTTCAAAACCCTTATTCTTCACCATAAAACCCTTCAAAAATTAAACCCTTTATCCTTCACCATAAAACCCTTCAAAAACCCTTTATTCTTCACCATAAAACCCCTTCAAAACCCTTTACCATAAAACCCCTTCAAAACCCTTTATCCTTCACCATAACCCCTTTAACCATAATCAAAACCCCCCTTCAAAAACCCTTTACCCTTTATTTTTAACCATAAAACCCCTTCAAAACTCATTTAAAACACCCTTCAAAAGTAAATACAAAAGAGAACCTTAAAACTCACCATAGAACCCCTTCTTCGGGTGCTGCCTGACCTTGAGCCCTTGCTTCTTCTTGCTGGGGTTGAGAAGGTCACGCACGACCTCATTGTAGATCTCCAGCATACTGAACCGAACCTCAAATTCCTTTTTTCCCTTCTGTTCAGTGATGCCCTGGAACAATTTGTCGCAGAACATCGGGACGACGCCTGTGGGAGGGAGAGAGGGAGGTCGTGAGGATGGTGGGCTGGTGTGTGGTTAGTGGGTATGCTTGTGTGTTTGGGGAGGGGTTGAGTGTGTGTTGGGTGTGGAGAGGAGGGGTTGAGTGCGTAGGGGAGCTTGTGTGTGTGTGTGTGTGTGTGTGTGTGTGTGTGTGTGTGTGGTGTGGTGTGTGTGTGTGTGTGTGTGTGTGTGTGTGTGTTGTGTGTGTGTGTGTGTGTGTGTTTGTATGTGTGTGTGTGTGTGTGTGTTGTGTGTGGTGTGTGTGTGTGTGTGTGTGTGTGTGTGTGTGTGTGTGTGTGTGTGTGTGTGTGTGTTGTCATATATACAATAAATCACCATACCGTTGAAAGCCTACATGATAAAAATTCACATAACGCGGAAATTATATGGGTATTATTGAAATGCACCCAACCTGACAAAAACTCTGAGCTTAAATCTGGTACACCTCATTCTAGATATTTTCTTTATATACCATTTTTCTTCGCAAATTGATAATAACGGAGTTAAAGAGAGTATAAATTCCACGACTTTCAGGAGACATAGTAACCTTCCGCCTCCAGCGCCGCGACAAAATGACAAAAAGTCGTTAAGAGCGACGGGAAATCGGACGGATTTGTAGCGGATGACGTATGCGAGGGAAATCAAATGAGCAATTAGATTCGTGCGTAAGCGTGACGTGAGATAGACACTCAATAGAACCAATCAGATATGGAATTGATCATCACGTGACATATAGAAGCTGGGTCTAGGAGAAGGCAGTTGAAATTCAAATCAGTTCCATCATGGCTAGACAGTGTGTAGGTTGTGAGAAAAATTATTTCAATTTCATTGCGAAACATCAACAAAATAACGAAGCAAGCTTACTGAATCTACATCACGGTGTACTGCCAGTGGAAGTACAATGTCCGCACTGTAAGACATCGCGTCATTACAGATATGATCTTGATCATATCTGAAAGGGGGTATAAAAGGGGCGAAGCCCCCTATATCTACTGAAAACGTGTCAGATACCTGGTTTGCCCGGGCTCTATCCTGCCGGAAAATACGAGGTGAAGATCTTGTCGACCAGGCGGAGCTCCCTATACAACCCGGAAATGTGTTGATATACTATGCTTAGTAGTATTCTACCGATATTTCTCGAAATTCCCAGATATGTAGGCCCCCGTGGCCTCCCAGCTATCGAGACCGATATCGTAGTTATGCTTCGTTTGCGAAGGGAATGCTAGGTTCGTTCGAAACACGACGAAAGCTATTAGAAAATTATTATCACGTAAAAAATGGCGTGGGGTTGCATTCCAAATTTACCATTAAGTGCATCTACAGTTACCTTTGTTGGCCCCGTAGCCGATGACAGACCAAGACTTCCCCGAGCCTGTCTGGCCGTAGGCAAAGAGTGTCGAGTTGTAGCCGTCCCACGCATTCTTGAGTATCCCCCCTCCGAGGTCTTCGAACACCGTTTTCTGTGATGTGAAAAGAGCAGTTTTAATGAGAAAAAACGGGAACTACTGATCGTAATAATAATATATAATTAGCAATGATATCAGTATTACTGGTAAGAATATTACCAACAACAATGATAATTATAACAACAGCAAGCACAAAACATTTCCCTAACCCCACCGCTGCAACTCTTCACCATGTTAATAATAACAATCACTGATAAAAGTAATACTGGTAACAGTAATAACAACAAAATCATTAATAGTAATAAGAACGGTGACACCCAACACCCCTCCCTCCCCCCTATCCTCTTCATCCCCACCCTCACCCACCCTACCCTGCTTTACCCACTCCGCCCTCACCCCCACCCTACCCTGCCCTATCACGTCGCCCTCCACCCTTACCTGCCTTTCCACGTCGCCCTTCCAGCTCACCCTTAACCAATCCTGCCTTACCTCACCCTCAACCACCCTATCCTGCCCAGCCACCTCACCCTAACCACCCCCTACCCTGCCCTACCACCTCACCCTCAACCACCCTGCCCCTGCCCTACTGTCTCACCCTCCACCTACCCTGCCAAGCCACGTCGCCTCCACCCTATCCTGCCCCTCACACCCTCAATAACCCTACCCCCTACTGTCTCACCCTCAACCCTGTCCTGCCCCTCCACCTCACCTCAACTACCCTACCCTGCCTACTACCTCCTCCACCCTGCTCTACCCAGCCACGTCGCCCTCCACCTTACACTACCCAGCCACGTCGTCCTCAACCACCCTACCTACCCTATACCTCACCTCCACCCTACCCTGCCCTGCTATCTCACCCTCCACCCTACCCTGCCCAGTCGTCGCCCTCCCACCCTACCCTGCCCTACTGTCTCACCCTCCCCTGATCTACCCTCAACCCTACCCTGCCCCAGCCCACGTCGCCCTCCACCCTACCCTACCGCTCACCCTCTACCCTGCTCCACCCTCACCCTACCCTGCCCTAGCTACCTGTCCACCCTCCACCCTACCCTGCCTCACGTCGCCCTCCACCCTAGCCAGCCAGTCGCCCTCCACCCTCTGCCAGCACGTCGCCTCCACGTCGCCCTCCACCTACCCCTCCAGCACCTCCACCCTACCCTGCCCAGCCACGTCGCCTCCACCCTACCCTCAGCCACGTCGCCTCCACCCTACCCTGCCCAGCCACGTCGCCCTCCCACCCTACCCTGCCCAGCCACGTCGCCCTCCACCCTACCTGCCCAGCCACGTCGCCCTCCACCCTACCCTGCCCACCACCCTCCACCCGTACCTGCCAGCCACGTCGCCCTCCACCCTACCCTGCCCACCACGTCGTGCCCAGCCACCCTCCACCCTACCCCTGCCCAGCCACGTCGCCTCCACCCTACCCCCCCAGCCACGTCGCCCTCCACCCACCCTGCCCAGCCACGTCGCCCTCCACCCTACCCTGCCCAGCACGTCGCCCTACTACCTGCCCAGCCACGTCGCCCTCCACCCACCCTGCCCAGCCACGTCGCCCTCCACCCTACCTCGTCGCCCTACCGCCACCCTCCACCCTACCCTGCCCAGCCACGTCGCCCTCCACCCTACCCTGCCCAGCCACGTCGCCCTCCACACCTACCTGCCCAGCACGTTCGCCCTCCCCTACCCTGCCCCACGTCGCCCTGCCCAGCCACGTCGCCCTCCACCCTACCCTCCCAGCCACCGCCCTGCCAGCCACGTCGCCCTCCACCCTACCCTGCCCAGCCACGTCGCCCTCCCTACCCTGCCCAGCACGTCGCTTCGACCCTGCCCAGCCACGTCCCTCCACCCTACCCCTGCCCAGCCACGCCCTCCACCCCCTGCCCAGCCACGTCGCCCTCCACCTGCCAGCCACGTCGCCCTCCACCCTACCCTGCCCAGCCACGTCGCCTCCACCCTACCCTGCCAGCCATCCACCCACCTGCCAGCCACGTCGCCCTCCACCCCCTCCACGTCGCCCTCCACCTACCCACACCTCCACCCTACCCTGCCCCTACCTCACCCTCAACCACTTTGTCCTGCCCTTCCACCTCGCCCTCCACCCTACCCTGCCCAGCCACGTCGCCTCCACCCTGCCTGCCCCTCCACTCACCCTCTAACCAGCCACCCTACCCTACTATCTCACCCTCCACCCTGCCCTACCCAGCCACGTCGTCCTCCACCCTTACCTGATCGCAGTACTTGGATCCCTCGCTCTCCTTGGCGAAGTACCCGTCCGGCATCTCCTTGCTGCCGTCGAAACTCCAGTACGAGAAGTCATACGTGAAAGCCTTGACATCTTCAGCGTCGTCGGGGTTGAGGAGCTTCGTCACTTTCCCGTTCATCTGGATGATGTTCTTGGCTTTGCGGCCATTCTCGCGTGTGTTGTGCGGAGGGAGTTAAGGAGAATAGGAAGGGACTGCTGGTACGGCAGGGAAATGAAACGGTTGGTGTTCTGCGCATGCGTGGGGGAAACAAACAAGATGGCGGCGTCTGACATGAGATGGTACTCCTCTCTGTTATGTTAGGTTCGTATTTATTACCTGGAAATAACGGTTATATGCGCTTATGCGTATGTGTGCCGTACGCCTAACCACGAGAGATCGGATACAGCTGCCGTACGCGTAACACCGGCCTATGGAAAATGGTTTGGTTGACGGTTGAGTTATGGGGGAGGTTGGGAGATGGGGGAGTTTTGTGGGGGTAGGGGGTTGAGTCGGAAGGGGGGGGGAGGTAGGTAGTTGACTCTTAATAGGGGGGGTAGATGGTTGAGTAATGGGGGAGGGGGTTGATGGTTGACTCATGGGGGGGTGGGGGTTGTAATGGGAGAAAGGTGAGGGGTTCAGTCGGGGGGGGGGAGGTAGGTAGTCGAGTCTTAATAGGGGGGGGGGGGTAGACGATTGAGGAATGGATGAAGGGGGTTGACGGTTGACTCATGGGGGGGTTTGATGGGAGAATGGTAGACGGTAGACAGTCATTGGAAAACACACACACTCCCTTACAAACACATAGACACTTATTTACACGAAAATGAAGATGAAAACAGAACGAATTATATCACATGATATGATGGTCTGTAGATAAACAGACAGACATATGCAACTCTATCTATCTATCTATCTATCTTATGTCTTTATGGGGTGATGATAATTAAAGTTCCCGGATGAAATGATAAGATAAAGGAGAGGGAGTAATGGCCGAATGTAATGGGTGTTCTTTTATTCTATGCTTCCATTGTCCTCAGTCCATGGAAGAGAAAGGGAAGGGTACAGATCATCATTTGTCTCTGTCTCTCACTTAGTCTCTCTTTCTCTCTCTCGTTGGTCTGGTTGACTGTGCTTTCTCTCTCTCTCTCTCTCTCTCTCTTCCCCCCTCCCCCCTCTCTCTCTTTCTCTTGGTCTGGTTTCTCTCTTTCTCTCTCTCTTCTCTCTCTCTCTCTCTCTCTCTCTCTCTCTCTCTCTCTCTCTCTCTCTCTCTCTCTCTCTCTCTCTCTCTCTCTCTCTCTCTCTCTCTCTCTCTCTCTCTCTCTCTTCTCTCTCCTCTCTCTCTTCTCCTCTCTCTCTCTCTCTCCCTCTTCCTCTCTCTCCTCTCTCTCTTTCTCTCTCTCTCTCTCTTCTCCTCTCTCTCTCTCTCTCTCTCTCTCTCTCTCTCTCTCTCTCTCTCTCTCTCTCTCTCTTCCCCTCTCCCCTCTCTCTCTCTCTCTTTCTCTCTCTTCTCCTTTCCCCTCTCCCTTCTCTCTCTCTTCTTTCTCTCTCTCTCGTCTCCCTTTCCCCCTCCCATTCTCTCTCTCTCTCTCTCTCGTTCTCTCTGCTTCTCCTCTCTCCTCTCTCTCTCCTCATTCCAAAATGAATATCAAAAAATGATAACAATGTAGAATACACATCAACAGTCATACCCGCATTACCATGGGCATCACGCTGAGCCAGACAAGCATATCTTTGTCAGAGTGGTCCCTTGACTATGGCAAATCTACAAGTATATATTGCGTGTAGCAGCAACAAATAATACTATAACTCACGCTAATAGTAGCACTATTACCAATTATAATACTAATATTAACACTAAAGCCAATATTTTTTTATATCAATAGGAACGCTAATACAGGAACTAAATCCAATGCCAATAATAATGCTAACAACAATAACAATGAAAATAACAAAACTACTAATAATGATACTAATATTAACACTAACATTGAATATAGTACGAATAAAAATAATTAGACTGGTAACAACAGCAACAACAATAACATAATACTCATGATAATAATAATAACAATAAGGATAATAGTAATAACAACAGTAACACTAACATTAACTCTGTATGAATAAGAATATAGATGATAACAAGAACACATAATGAAAAAACATAAGGAAAAGTAATAGCAATAATAATAATAAGGGGTAATAGCAATAATAATAATAACAGTAAGGATAATAGTAATAAACAAGATAATAATAGGGTAATAGTAATATAAATAATAATAAACAGTAAGAAATAGTAACAAGGATAATAATATAATAATAAATAATAACGATATAGCAATAACAAGTAAGAAAAATAAATAATAATAATAAGGATAATAGTAATAACAAGGATAATAATAATAAAAAATAATGATAATAAGGATAATAATAATAAAAAATAAGGATAATAATAATAAAGATAATAATAATAGCAACAATAAGGACAATAGTAATATAGTAATAACAATAACAACAACAGCACCAAAAGGATATGAAAGGCCTGACCCTAACGGCCACCTTCACATTCTCCTCCTCAGACATGCTGCCTGTCCTTCCTCCTCACGCCCACCAGGAGGAGAAGACGCCCGCCCGCAGGTCGTCCGGTAGAGCTGTCGCCAGGCCCGCCCACGCCCTGGCTCTCGGGTGTATTGTCTGAGCGATATAGCCGCCCACGATGGGTTTTCTCTGTCTCCCGTGGGTGGTGGGGCTTGAAGGTTCTGTGGAGGGAAATGATGTTATTGTTTTTTCTTCTTTTTTTCTTCTCTTTCTTTCTTTTTTTTTCTTTTTTTTTTCCTTTTTGGTAAATTATTTTTGTTGTGCATTATTATGGGTTTTGTTGGTGTATATATTGTGGTATGTTTCTTGGTGTATATATTGTGGTATGTGGTGTATCTGTGGTTTCTTGGTGTATTGTGGTATGTTTGTTGGTGTATATATATATAATTGGTATGTTTCTTGGTGTATATATTGTGGTATGTTTTTGGTGTATATATTGTGGTAATTTCTTGTGTATATATATATATGTGGTATGTTTCTTGTGTATAATATTGTGGTATGTTGGTATATATATTGTGGTATGTGGTGTATATATGTTTCTTGGTCGTTATATATTGTGTATGTTTGGTGTATATTGTGGTAGTATGGTATTATATAATTGGTATGTTTCTTGGCGTATAATTTGGTATGTTTCTTGTGTATATATTGTGGTATGTTTTGTTGGGTATGTTTTGGCGTATATATTGTGGTATGTCTTGGTGTATTATTGTGGTATGTTTTGTTGTATTGTAGTATGTTTCTTGGCTATTGCGGTATGTTTTGTTAGTTCATATATTGTGGTATGTTTTGTCAATTTATATATTGTGGCATGTTTTGTTGGTATATGTATTGTGGTATGTTTTGTTGGTTCGTATATTGTGGTATGCTTTGTGAATGGAATTTTGTGTTTCCGTTGTATCTTGTGAATTTTGTGTTGTATTATACTGCGTAAATATTGGTTTATGGAGGGAGAAATTATATTGTTAGTGATAAATTATGTAATTATGTCTCATAATGTGTTAAGATGTTTTTTTTACAATGTGTGAATGAATAGACAAGGGAACATTAAAATAATTAATTATTTTGGTAATCTAATAGTCCATTAGCTCCTAATTCATTAAACTTACAATATCATTTAGATAATTAATGAGCTTCACTGCAGGTTTTGTTCAAAGACTTTTTGTTCCTTGAAATAGATCGAGTTTCCTCTTTTGTTGAACAGTGCTTGGTATTTTTAGCAGAATGTTGACCTTTAGAATCTTTCCATTATCTCTTTCTATCTATCTTTCTCTCTATTTCCATTTTCTCTCTCTCTCTCTATTCTCTCTTTCTATTCTCTCTCTCTCTCTCTCTCTCTCTCTCTCTCTCTTCTCTCTCTTCTCTCTCCTCTTCTCTCTCCTTTCTCTCTCTCTCTCTCTCTCTCTCTATCTCTCTCTCTCTCTCTCTCTCTCTTCTCTCTCTCTCTCTCTCTCTCTCTCTCTCTCTCTCATTCTCTCTCTCTCTCTCTCTCTCTCTCTCTCTCTCTCTCTCTCTCTGCTCTCTTTCTCTCTTCTCTCTCTGTCTCTCTCTAACTCTTCTCTCTCTCGTTCTTTCCTATAACGGAACTGCTGTATATAGTGTGTATCTACCATCAACGTAATATATTATTCAAAAGATCGATCGTACGCACAGTAATTATATACTTTTTCTTGATATCATTATCATTTCTCCTCCGTATCCTCTCTCTCCTTCTTCTCTTCTCTCTCTCTCTTCTCTCTCTCTCTCTCTCTCTCTCTCTTCTCTCTCTCTCTCTCTCTCTTCATCTCTCTCTCTCCTCTCTCTGCTCTCTTCTCTCTCCTCCTCTCCTCTCTCTCTCTCTCTCTCTCTCTCTCTCTCTCTCTTCTCTCTCTCTTCTCTCTCTCTCTCTCTCTCTCTCTCTCTCTCTCTCTCTCTCGCTCCTCTCTCTCTCGCTCTCCATCTCTCTCTCTCTCTCTCTCTCATCTCTCTCTTCTCTCTCGCTCTCTCTCCTGTCTCTCTCTTCTCTCTCTTCTCTCTCTCTCTCTCTCTCTCTCTCTCTCTCTCTCTCTCTTCTCTCTTCTCTCTCTCTCTCTCTCTCTCTCTCTCTCTCTCTCTCTCTTCTCTCTCTCTCTCATCTCTCTCGCTCTCTCTTCTCTCCTCTCTCTCTCTCTCTCTCTCTCTCCTCTCTCTCTCTCTCTCTCTCTTCTCTCTCTCTCTCTCTCTCTCTCTCTCTCTCCTCTCTCTCTCCTCCTCTCTCTCTCCTCTCTCTCCTCCTCTCTTCTCCTCTCTCTCTCTCTCCCTCTCTCTCTCTCTCCCTCCCTCTCTCCACTTTTCTTTCCCTCCATTGTCTATAATGAATCAATTGACCTTTGCGTGTATAAGGAAAAGACTCCTCTATCTGACTCGATAATTTCAGAGAGGAAAATGAAAGGTTAATTCGTATAGAAATGTGTAGTAGTGTGAGTCAATAGTTATTAGCAAATATACAGTAAGTTCAAGTTAAAATAGAATTCTATATTTTGGAGTGTTCTATTTTATTAGCAGGAGAAAAATCACACTAGATTTGCGAAGATATACTAGTTGAAGGTACCGTATCTACTGCAC